AACATCGCAACCAAAAAAAAATGTCAAATTAACCAAATCATTACTGTACCATGAATGCTCCTATCTCCGACACTTCACACAAAAAAATAACTCTTGCACACCTTGCATGCCTATGTTGCTAACTAGTTGGCATTTAAATGAGGAAAGCAGAGAGTTCTGTATCAAAGCAATGTCACCTCCAGCCTTGCTTGCATTCATAGGCCAGGTAACTAATCTTATTATATGGCTGGCTCCGTGAGCAGGCAAGATGAATCAAATCCTGCACTGTGATTGGCTATCCGAGCAGGCAAGATAGAGCTGTCTTGCCCACTCGGGACTACCTGCCGTGTCCCGCAAGAAAAATTTTCCCGAAAGCCATATAATAAAATCCTTTATTGACCAAGCTTGTTCGGCCAAGATAGCTGGATATTGGCCGCGTTCTTTTTTTGCGTGTTTATGGACCTCGACTCCGTCTCAGTCCATAAACACGGAAAAAAAGAACTTGGCCAATATCCAGCCATCTTGACCTCACACTTGGTCAATAACCCATATATACAACTGTAAAATGGCCTATTGGAATTTCAAAAGCTCTATCCATCCTAAACCCTTACCTTTCAGAGTTTATATTTGATAGCCAGCCTCTTTTAAAAGTATTCCCACTTCTAATGAATTTAATGTGCTTCTTCTCTTGACAAAGAAAATTTGCTGATAATTCTAATAAGAAATTTGTTAACCCTAAAGACTCTGGCACTTGTTTTGCAATGCACATTGTTTTAAAGTAATAATTAGCTCTTATTAACCAAGCAGGAGGTCTGTATGGGAGAATCTTGACCGAAGTCATGAGTACAGACCGAACGCAGTGAGGTCTGTACACACGACCGAGGTCAAGATTCTCCCATACAGATCGACTTAGCTCAGTTAATAAGATGTTTATTATATGGCAAAGAAGAAAACTTTAATTCGTTTAATGTAACTGGTTTTTCTGACATTTTGCTTGCGAACGGCGATGAGCTTGACTTAAACCTGCCTGGCGGAATTTGCTCATCCTCTTTACTTTTTTTTGTCATCAGGCTTTTTAGCACTTCCATAAATGATCGAGAAGAAAATAAAAGAAAATGGTGAACATTTTTGTATTTTAGTTTGCTACTTTTTCAACGCAAAATGAAATTGGTCTAGATGCCGGTCTAGATGGGAAAATCTAGACCGCAGTCAATATCGATTTCAGCCAATCAAATTCATGAATTCGGTAGTTCCCAGTCCTTGTGAGACACAGCCATATAATAATAGTATATAATAGTAACTTTATTTAGAGTCGAAGAATGTGAGGAGTGTTTGCACAATACCCATGCATCTTCCGAGCCAAAGGCTTAAGATAAAAATGTTCAACTAAAAAAAAAGAAAGGGAAGGAAGTATATGTCTAAATTTTTACATTAACTTATAGAAAGATATATATTTTGATATCTATTTGATCTACATTTGTATTACATGTATATGTTCTGACACCCATGCAACACTCAATTTATTAATTTTGTTGTTATCACTGAACCAATTGGATGCAAGTAGATAACTCATGCATGTGTCCAGAATAAGTCTTTCAGGCTGAACATTAGGGTTGGCAAATGGTAAAATTTTAGGCTCCATGCATGCTAGCTTTAGAGTCTGCACTGTCAAAATGGCTAAACTAAATCTTGTGACTGTGTGTTTCGTCAACAGATTTTACATTGTGGCCTTTTTGGGCTGATACTCATGTGTCTCCTCCTTTTTCAAAGAAAAGGTGAATCTCTGTATTTGGCTCTAGATCTTTGTACTTGAGTTCAGATTTGCAGTAATTAACAATTATTGGATGAGGAGCAAAATATTGTGATTTGTTAGTGGCAAGCAGATCAATTAATTGCCCAAGCTGAAGGCTGAAGCAAATAACTGATCTGCGAGATACTGACAAATTATGATATTTTGCGATGCCCAATTGCAATAATTGTTTTATCATTTGATCACCAAGTTTGTTTTCATATTTAAATCACTCTCTGACAGCTCAGGGAAGCGATCTGCCATTTTTCACACAAGAGCATTGGTATGATTACACGTGAGCACAATGTTATTTGCAGCAAAACACACACAGTGTGGGTGTCTCAAAAACTAAGACCTAGGATCTAAGACCTAAGACCCCCTCTGAATCTCAAAAACTAAGACCTAAGACCCCCTCTGAATCTCAAAAACTAAGACGTAAGACCCCCACCAAATCTCAAAAACTAAGACCTAAGACCTCCTCTGAATCTCAAAAACTAAGACCTACAACCCCCGNGAATCTCAAAAACTAAGACCTAAGACCCCCTCTGAATCTCAAAAACTAAGACGTAAGACCCCCACCAAATCTCAAAAACTAAGACCTAAGACCTCCTCTGAATCTCAAAAACTAAGACCTACAACCCCCGCCCAGATTCGGTGGGGGTCTTAGGTCTTAGTTTTTGAGACAACCCACACAGTATTACACATAAGCAGACCATTATTTGTAGGTAGTTATTTGCAGGTCACGCAGTGGGCTCTTGGCCAATGAAAAAGAAGGAAAAAATTCACCAAATGATAATGTAAAATATTAGTGACTGTACTAATATGTGCAATTTGGTTCATGAATAAATTAATATGTTTTAATTAAAAGCAATGGTTCAGTGGAGGATAGAAGTGGATACAAGATAAAACTATATGATGATACATTGGACATTCTGAAGTTTCTCAAGTCAAAGGAAATATGTTTGGCAGCAGCTTCCAGGCAAGTTTTAAAAGTTAAAATATTACAATAATTTGAAAGGCTTGGTGGAAAAAGGACATCAGCAATTTTTGGTCAAAAGTGAACTTTGTCGAAAGCACTCCAAATTTCACATGCGGTTTTTTACTGGTAATTGATGACAATGGAAATCTCTTTTCTGAACTCTTCAATTTCTGTCAAAACACAGAGGACTGGTGATAAGTTATTAATCATTATTAGATGAAACAGTCAGCTGTGTTCCCTTGATAAAAGAAAAACTGAAGAATACCAATTTTTGAATATTCCAGATCAGTTAGTTAGTTCTCTCCATGCCATGAGGTGCATAATGCTGCAACTTTTACTCACCAACCAGCCCTGTCTTGTGCCATGCCATCTAGCTGGACTGGTCTAGCCTCTGACCCCCCCTTGGAGGCAGGGACAAGATATAGGTTTACTATAATGCCAGTCATTCACTTTTGTGCAAGCCGTGCTCACCCTAACCCATGTCCCTGAGGAAAGAACCACTGATATTAACATGGTGAGGAGGTGTGACTACGGAATTCACTCCTACCCTTGGAGCATCATATAAAGGGGACCCCAGGAGCATGAGCTCTTAAACAAGGCTTTTAAATCAAGAGTCACTCAATATTTTACTTGTAAATTTTGACTCTCTTTCCATTGCCACTTTTTTTCCTTCAGTTTTGTTCAGATAAATAAAAGTACCACATTAAGTTGTAATTTCTGCACCATTAAACATTGACAAGGCAACTTTTTTCGCTTACTTTCCATCGGTTGTTTGATTTTTCTTCTTCAAGGTGTGCATCTATTGATCACACCTGCCTCAGACTTGGGTTTCCTTGTTTTAGAGAACAACTTTTTAAAATTAATTGTTGTGCATCATCTATTTGCAAGTATGGTCTTGACTCTGAATCTGTGAAACCCTTTTTTTTGTTTTGCTCAAGGTATGCCGCTCAACGTTATGTCCTCCTTACATCTGCTGCTAATATACTTGGTGAAATATTGTCATTGAGCAGTGACGTTAGAAAACTAAATTTTTTATTGTATGGTGTTCAGTAGATGTAAATTACGATGTCAACTGTGCTTTTTTTTTTTTAAGAAGTACAAAGTTTTACAAATAATACTAATTGCTTTTCGGTGGCCACTGTTTGGTTGTTAAAATACTACATCTCTAGATATGTAGACTTAGCTCATTGTTTTCAGTGCAATTTTTATGTGTTTGTGTCCGTGTCAGCCTGAATAAATGAAGTAAAAATTGTAATATTGTAAATTATCCCTCTCCTTCTAAGCCTAGATGCTTTGGGGGTAAACAATAACAAATATGTTTAAATTTTAAAAAATGCCATTATTCTGCAGGACTGAAGATCCCGCTGCTGCTCAGGAGCTTTTGAGAGTATTAGACATTGACAAGTATTTCTCATATAAAGAGATATATCCTGGATCAAAAGTGACTCATTTTAGAGAGTAAGTGGGTGTTGCAAAAGAGAATAGATCATCTATTAAGTAAAGTACATTTATTTATTTTATCTATTAACTATGTAATTTAGAAATAGATAACATTTTCTGTTTTTCTATTGTTTTTCTATTAAGTTTAAATATAAATATATTCACATTCTATCATGAATGGATCAAGAATCTGTAGGGTCTAATTTACTGTTCAATTTTTAGCAAAATAAGCCCATCCCAAATGGAGACCAGACTCAAGAAAATGGTAGAAATAGGGCTCTGAAACAGCATGGGCCTTTACTTTAAAGTCTTGTCATTTGACTATTGCCGTGTTTTCACGAGACAGGCTTACTACGGTTACAGCTTACCAAGGTTTCGTAACTAAACCGCAGTTATTAGAGAATCTGTTTACACAAAGCTAATTAACAAAGGTAGGCCACATACAACGGACAGTTTGAGGTTTTCTCGGAAAGCAAGTGCTGCAATGTTGCTCAGAAGCTATTGAAAAATTATAAAATTTGACTTTACCCCAGTGCCAAACGCAGATCGTTGTCAATTTGCTTGCGGTGATGTCGAACCAAACTCTCCTTAAATGTAAAGCTTTGTAGATGAATAGTGGAAAGAAAATTTTGATATCTTGCTGAGCCTCCTCGCGAAAAACGGCATCTGCCACGAAGCCCGGACTACGTAAATGTTTACCAGTACTTCTTCTTATTCGAAGCCGCTTTAAATTCTAACATTTGCTTTTCTTCTCCATAGACCTCAATTATGATTTTTTTTTCTCTATTTGTGGTAGGTCGTCTTCTAGTTGCGCATGCCTGTACACTGTTACTAAGCTACTGAGCTTCTAACAGAAAGGAAATGCCAACGGCACTTGAGAATGAACGGGAAACAGCATTCCAGGATTTCTTTGCCTAAACATGAGTTTATTTAGCTTTTTTTGCCCATTGACTTGAAACCCACTTACATAAGGAGGAATCTTTGTCTGTTTTTCTCTTCTTTATGCGCTGCACGTGTAAACACTTGCTGCCAAGATATCACGACAACGTCTGCTTTTCCTCGGTTACCGTCGGTTACTGAGCTAAACCATGCCTGATAATGTGTTCAACTGTCGACAAACCTAGGTTGGCCTACTTTTGATTTTGCCGCCATTTACTGAGGTTTGCTACTGTGTTTACACAATTAAAAATTTCACTTCAGTAAAGTTGAAACAAAACCAAGGTAAACATCTCGTAAAAACACAGGCTATGTCAAGTTAGAAATGTGGATGATAATAATTATCATTTAAATAAATCATGGTCAAATTCATATTTTTTCTGGAGAAAGCTAGAACCAAAACCTGTCAAATATTGTTGTTATGATTTTGTAAGTGAAATGAAGGTCACATGTCAAATTACCCTTATAGACTATAGACTGGAACAAAGCCTAAACATCCCCAGGGGGAACTCTCAAAATAGATGTTGATGGCACATGGCGATGCCTATTTGCTTTTTAAGGGTTGAAAATTTACTGTGTTTTTACACTGCTTTATTAAGCTCTTAGACCGATCACCAGTAAGCAATAACAGAAACTTATTGTCAGCAAATAACATTAGCAGTGTTTCTTGTCTTTTTATCTTCAAGATTTACTCAGGCAAGTGGAATCCCATACTCCAACATGCTTTTCTTTGATGATGAAGAGACAAACATTGACGAGATTAGCAGACTTGGTAAGTGCTAATAAATCAGTTCTTCTTAGCTGTAGGTTATTTAGTTAAGACAGTATTGGTGAGGATGCTGTGTGAGTTTTTTCCATTTACTTAAACAAATCTGTGTGTCTTAAGAGTGGATCTCCTTTACAAAATCTCACCACTCCTTGTTTTGTTGTTTGTCTGTTTTGTTTTTGTTTTAAAGAAAGTTTAATAATAACACCAACAAGGTGATATGTATCAATCAAGGAAGACATTGATTAACATCTCCCCCCTCCCCCCTCCCCCCCATTAAAAACACCCCTGTAGTTGACTCATTGATTTACCAATTGAGGGAGGAATTTGACATCAGTGGGCTGTGGGGAATCTGGCACCATATGGGAAGAATTATGGGGCACTTGGTAAACAAGTTGTTGCAAAGTCGTGGTGAAGCTAGAAGACACTGAGAAAACAGCAAGGGACAGCCCTGTTCTTTTCTGTCATCTTGGCTCAGCAAAAAGAGCCCTCAAATGCTTCTTAAGACGTTGATGAGAAATATATACTTAGTTTAATTTGCCTGTGAAATTGTATTCCCCAGTATGGTTATGTTACTGTAGTGGAAGTTCAGTAGAGGTTTTGTGAGGAAGTTTTTTTTTTTTCTTTAGTCATTTTTGTCATGTCTTGGGGTTCAGGCATTTGATCAGCTAATATGGTGCAAGGTGGGATATTTGAACACCATTTTGGCTTGAGGAACGGAGATTTGAATGTTCAAAAGTTTGAAAGTTCAAAAAATTGGGGGTTGCCTTGCATGGGGATGTTGAAGTTTCACATTTACTGGAAGGTAAGATCCACCTTAGACTGAGATATCTGGGAGAATAGCTGGGTAACTTCTGTAAGGGGCAACCATATTTTTCTGACATTTACAGGAAGAAACCTCTTCAATGATAAAACAACTTACATTAAATAAACTCAGTAGGTTTGATGGGTATGTTTAAACTTAACAGAAGGGACATTATGATAGTGAAACTTTCTGGAACAGATCTCACTAAAGCTGTTGTTTAGTAGCCAGTAATTGGCACATGTATGTGAATCTAAACATTTTCCTTTTTGAAACTTAAATTAGAAGTTTCATTTTGGAAAAATTGGACCTGTCCGACTAGCTTTAAACAGTAAAATATGTGGAGCTCTGTAGGTAACCAATTTTGAGAGCTTGGTTGTTGATGGTTGTCACTGGTTACCAAAATAAACTGAAAACTGATACCTTTTCTCCCCTAAAACCTTAAGCTTCTTTCTGGGGCTCTTGGATGCCATGCTAGTTGATGCCATTTAAGAAACAGAAAACATTTTGCATGTTTATATCAAGTTATAGAAACACAAGTGGAAGTTTGGGAGAATTAGAAATGCTGTGGGAACACAAGCTGATAGGCAAGTGTTTCCACATCTTTTTCAAGTTCTCCAAAACTCTCACAAGTGTTTTTATTTAACAATTACATTATGAGCTTAAGATTTCTATCGTGCATAGAAATCGAGAGGGAATAATCTAATTGTTTTAGTTTAAATCTACTAGTCGTTCAAAACTTTATCTAAATCCTCTCCACAGACACCTTGAAAACGCAAAGAAGAGACCATCATTTTGTTAATTACAAGTGCACACTGCTACAGTACTCACTATCTACAACAAAATAGATAGTGAGTAGCGCAGCCAATCAGAGAGTGGCATTCGTGAGTGCTAGTAGATTTATATTATAACAGAATAGATAGTACACTATTAGATTACTACACTAGTAGATTTATACTTAAACCAATAGAAACACGAAGAAAATGTCTTCTATCTTTTTTTAGAAAACAGCTCAAAGAAAACAGCAAACAATGTGACTGCGACAACTTTACTGGGTTTCTATTGAGGCGTAGAGACACGATTTTTAATCAATCAGCGTACATATTTTCTTTAGGCTATTTTCTAAATTTGATTTCTGAGACAAAAATTCAGGCTGTATTTTGAATTGTTTGACAACTTAAGGTTTAAGTTCCCAAAACATTCAGTACCAACAAGATCTGCATGCTTTCTTTCAGGTGTAACTTGTGTTTTGGTGAGAAGTGGAATGAAACACACTGTCTTACAGAATGGACTTGAGCAATTTGCTGCAAGGCACAAGCAAAAAAACAGATAGCCCCAAAAAATCTGATTCCCCAAGTGACACAGGTGCTCTCCCATATGATGGCAAACGGGATGTGGGAACTCATGCTTAAATCAATAATAATATTGCTTTAAGCATGAGTTCAGTAAGTATTACTTTTGTGACTGGACAAATCAGAAGGCCCTTGAAAGGGGTCTTTGAGAGAGGATCCATGGAAGAAAAAATTTAAAATTGATCTTAAAAAATAGTCTCGAAAATATCAAAAAGAACTTGTAATTGACATAACAAACCTGACAGAAAAGTTTGTCTTGGAGTAAGAGACCCAGATGTGCACAAAGAAAGCTGGGCAGGGGAGGGGAGTGGAGATTAAGTGTTTTTTATGCTGAAAGGGTGTGAATAGTCAGAGATGGAAACAAACTATACTGAGTCTTCATTGTAAAAACAATCACTAAGTAATTTTTGCCATTATGGTCCATTTGATCCATTAAGGAGGAGAGAATGGCTGTTATTACAGTTGAGCCTGTGGTCGAATATTCTTTTGCTTAAAAAGGCATGGAAACGAGGCGAACGGGTCTGTACAGAGCAAAATTGACCCTTTTGCTTTGTTTGCACGTCAAACCGCTGATAACTGTAGTAACAGCTATTGAGTGGCAAACTATAATCATTGATAGTGGGCAATAATTATTACAATCATTTGTACACATCATCATCGTACAAATCAAAGTATTTCATCATCATCATCATCGTACAAATCAAAGTATTTTTAGAAAGTATTTTGCCGTGTTTATTTCAAATTAAGAGTCTTAAATGCGTGAAAATTAGCAAAGGCTGATGTGGCTTCCTCTCTAAATATTTTAATTTATTTTTGTAACATTTTCTGTCATTATTTATTTGCAATAACAATTTCAGATTTCTACTTTAAAAATTACATTTTTGGAATATTTATTTATCTCTTACATCAACTCTGCAACTTGTAGTAGGTCAGTATATTAATTCACATTTATACTGCTTAGGGATGTATGCAACATTTCAACGATAATTTTTCTCTCAAGATATGTAAAATCCTGATTTTTCTCTCTGAATTGTTTCCAATAGAATGTTTAGTGATGAAAAATTGAATCAAACGATTCCTCAGGATACCTTAAAATCCGTTGTTACCAATGTAAATTTGAAATTGCGTTATCTGATGTGAAAATTCATTGGGCTGGATGAATTAAAATTTAAACTATTTGAACCTCTAAAATGCTGTAATTTCTCACTGTGTCTTTGAATAACACGCAAACGCCACCTAATCAACGGTTACACTTTTTGCTTCTGTGATAATAATTATAATCATAGCAGACATCTTGGGTAAATGTTTTCTCAAGAAACAACACAACGTCTTTTAGAAACATGTTTCAACAGAATCTTCTGTCATCTTCAGTTTAAATTACAAAGTACAGAGTTGAATATATAGTGTACTCAAATGCTAATTGACTATAAGAACAAAAGGAAACATGACAATGTAAAATACTACAAAGAAAGTTTTAAATTAACGTGATAAAGTTGATGATTTAGTGTAGGTCATGGTAGGTTTTCCCATTGAATATGAATAGCTTCTTCATGCTCCAACGACTGTTTCAGTATCCTAGATCACGCTTCCACCACCTTCCAGCATAAGATAAAAGAAGCTATTCATATTCAGTGGGAAAAACCTATGCTAAATCATCAACTTTATCATGTTAATTTACATATTTAAATATTTTACATTGTCATTTTTCCTTTTGTTCTTATAGTCAATTAGCATTTTGCGTACACCATATATTCAACTCTGTACTTTGTAATTTAAACTGAGGATGACAGAAGATTCTGTTGAAACATGTTTTTAAAGAACTTTGTGTTGTTTCTCAAAATTTGAACATGTCTTGCTACTATCCAGACCTTTTAACTGTTTTTTCTTTTTAATCTTTGATGATTGTTGTCATTAATATGATTGATGGCAGCAAAAGACCTGCGTTCATTAGGTATTTTCTGTACACTGGCTTTCTAGTTGCTCTACCATGTGATAATAAATAATAACCACTGATGGGAAAAGTCAATGTATTCCAATGAATGCTTCCTTGAAGTGTAAAGTTTGCATCTTTTCCACCAGGCTCTCCTTTGATTTGTCACGCAACACCTGTTTCCTTCTGTTGCGTGACCAGGCAAATTTATTAATGGTGGTAATTGGAAAGATAAATATATATCTATATAAGAAAAGAAAAAGAAGTTAATAGATTATTTAATTCTTTTGGAACCTAGATATTTATTTGAAAAAGTCATAAAGATGGTCCGTAAAACAAATGTGTTCTCATACAATGGGATGTCCTTTATTTAGAGATTATACGTTTCTAGGCCGTATTTGAGTTTCCAGTCGCCCCAGATGGTCACTCCTTTCCTTGACAAAACGATGACCTCGTCTAGAACCTTTTGAGCAGCTTTAGCATACACCCTCTTGTAGCTATCGGTCTTGCGTGACAAACACTCAAACCAGGTGACAAACCCATGTTGTTTACAATAACTGTCCATTTCCTGTGTGATTTTCACGACATCTCCTTGACACTCGTTTTGATTAGAATTGTTGATCATGACAAGAACCACGGGGACTTTAAAACCATTCCGTCCTGTGCTCGGATTGGCGCTCTGTATTAATTTAAAATATTGAAGCGCCGAGGAAAGGGAAGATGGTTTGTCGACATCAAAAAACACCATCGCTCCATCACACGCTTTGAACAGGTTGCAGTTGCGGCCGCAAAGGAAAAGAAATCTGTCGATGGGCGCAAGTTCCCAAAACTGAATCTTTAGGGTATACTCCTGTAAGTTTGATGCATTTTTCCACGATACTTCCTCCCGATGCAACCATGGAGTACAGTAGGCCCTTGGGGAAGATACCCTTTCTTTCCATTTTGGATCACCTGCAATAATTATTTTCAGATGCAGTTCGTCACCATTTTCCAGGATGTTTTTCTTGAACGATTTTAACTGGATTTCCTTTCCAAGTCGACTCAAACGATCTTTGTTTTCTTCTTCGGGTTTCTCGTAGAAAGCGTGAGGTAGGTTCATGTTGTTTTTAAAAACACCTTCAAGGAAGTTAAGTAGACAAATTGACCTTTTAACTAGCCAGCTATTGTCTCTTCCTGTGTTCTGTGCTAACCGTAGGCTTTGCTGTTTAAACTTCAAACGGTCTCTATACCCTCGGCGACAGTTACTGAATTTAAAACAACTTGTTGAAGTAATAACTATAAATTGGGCCGAAATTTGATGACTTGGCAACTGATATTTTTACTTTCTTGTCAAACCGAACGTTGAGAAAGATTTCCTGTTAAGGATCGGGAATCCAGCGTGTAGGAGCTTGCTATCTTGTTCTCATTTCGTGCAGCTTCTTGTCCTTCAAGTTCAGTCCAACTGTATAGTTGTATGTAGCGTCCCCTTCTTGAAGAACAGGTCCTCTGTTTGAGTCACATGAAGTTACATGCGTCTTGTGATAAGCAAGTCAGTTTATCACATGAGTCAATTAGAAGCCTGGCGAGAAAAACTGAAAAACTCATGACTCGTCGTCGGACTCGTCAAAACAATCACTGACTTGATTTATGCTTGATTTTAGTTTCATGATGTGGGATCCGTGACGAAGCTAAATGCTCTCGAATTCAAATTTAATACGAGAGAATGAACTAGAAGACAACCAGCTTCAACTTGAGGTGTCACACACCAGTCACGATCTCACCTTCACACTTGTCTCATCAGACGGCTTTTTGTCACGAAACGCCTCTCCATCAGGGCTGCCAAAATTAAAAGGACCTCTCTTTTGGATTTCAACCTTTTAACCATATAATTGATGTAAGACTGAGTGGAGTCTAATTCGGTCTGTAATCATACGAATGATTTTAAGAAAATCGGACAACCGGCCACGTAGCCTAATTTGTTCTATCGTGAGTATGACAAAGTGGCTAAACGGATTTTCACCTAATTGAGCAATTGGAATCTCCCACAGTGTGGAACTTCGCGCAAAATATTTTTCGTAGGACTGAAATTTTCGAGAAAAAATATTTCTATTAGCCGGCTGCCAGGCATTTTTACATGTACCTCTAAGACTATTTCAGGTAGCCAGTACCCCTATTACCGGCATTTGTCTTCTAACTTGTAAATACTCTATGGGGTAGAACAAAGTCTGTTGAGATTTCAATCGCCCACTTTCTGTGGTTGTCAAAGGCCACAGAATGGCGTCGTAGTATGTCCGAAACTCAAGTAGAAGAAATAGTTTTGGACATCTTATGAGGTTATTTCTCGTAGACCATTAAAAAAATAAGCGAAATTTCTCTTGTAAATTTCATAACTCGCCGATCGCGATAATTTCCCAAGTTTTCCGAAAGTTTAATGTCTTGCGTTGCAGATTAATTACCCCATCATATTACGAGCAATGCTGATACACGTAAACATTTTAAGGAATCTTGGCTGTAAAACAATTTAAGCTCCAGAGGTTCTTTTTAACTGGTCTGGGGTTTTACATCAACTGTGTAACTAGTTCCAATACGGATTGGGAGAGTGGAGGAATGTATGTTCCTTGCCCTTTGTCCTGGCCTTTTTCGCCTCCCCTACCCCTTTTCCCGTCTAGGCCTGTAACACAGGTCAATCTGTTTCCCGCCATTTTTACGTCATGGTAACTGAGACTTGCAACACATTGGTACATGGTGTGACTAAACACGTGACGTGAATACCTGACAATTTTTTCCTCGGACGGGGAGCTGTAGTTTAACCGACTGCAGGGGCGTAGCCAGCCACTTTTTTCATTTAAGCCCAAATTGTACAGCGTAAGTCGTATATCAAATTTTGCCAACGTCCAAAAAAACCAACAACAGTCAACTAAATTTTCGTGCGCAAAATTATTTCAAAGTTCTGCTTTGTTAATAACCTTTCTGCATTTTTCATGTATAAGATTTAAAGTCATTATTTTGTTTTTCAAACTAAAACGTTGATATAGCGGTGATTCGCTATTAAATAGTAAGAAAAGAAAAATATGGTCTTTCGGCTACTATTGATGACAGCAGAGAGGCAGCTTTTCGCTCATGAGGGCAGATCTTTTCGTGTCTGTTCTTATGGGCAAAAAGCTGAAGAAGGGTGCATGAAACAGGGAGCGAATGAAATTACAGGATCAGAAAAGTTACTCAGTTGGCTTCTAGATTTTTTCGCCAAGCTTTAAAATTTAATCGACAGATGGCTTTTATAACAAAGAGATCTAACAAAGATACCCTGCCTAGATCTCTGCGAAAAAGTTCACGTCACTAACATAGCGGTTTGACCAAGAAGAAATACCTATTTTTTTGTTTTTGAAAAAAAAGCCTTAATTCGATGATAGCAGAGAGGCAGCTCTTTGCTTGTTAGAGCAGGAGAGAGCTCGTCTCATGTCTGTTCTCATGGGCAAAAAGCTAAAGAGGGACGGAAGGCTGAGGGATGACATTTGATTTTTTTGAGGCGCCACATACCTCTAAGAAGGCTTAACAGGATTGGCTGAGAAATTAAAGCAATAGAAAAAAAAACAACTGAGACAATAAATTAAAACAATAAAAGATGGGTGAAAGAGGGATCGAATGAAGTTACAGGTTCAGAAGAGGTAATTAGCTTCGGGCTTTTCTAACACTGAAATGTCTAGATCTCTAACAAAACATTCGCGTGTCTGGTCAAAAATGAAATACATAAGTTTTTGAAAAGTCTTTTTAAATGTATATCGCGTGATGGGTGTCACGCTGACTGAAGAGTGGGAGGAGAGGGACGGGAACCTGACGATGACGGGGGCAGGAAGGGTGATGAGCTAAGGGATTTTGCATTCAGTCCTTGTCTCGAAGAGCCCTTTGAATCTTTGTACAAAACATGCAACTAGAATACGCCCGGGAATTACGTGCATCGGAAACTAAATTAAATTGTCCGTGTCAGGGGTGACAACGGGCTAAAATCACGAAACTTCAAGACGATAAAAAGACCAAGCTAAGCACTATATCCAAGGAAATTTCAGGTAAATTGTGAACATTTTTAAATTTGCGCAGGAGAGGCTAATAGGAATCTGAACATGTTCTGCCAAAATCCTCTCTCTAAAAAAAAATATTGTTATGCGGAAACTCTGGTTCCGTGATCTGAAACGTTTCAAGAGACTCGTGGTGCCGAACATGTTGAAATCCACACTTCAGTTAAAAAAAAAAAAGTTGAAAACAAAAACAAAAACAAAAACAAAAACATGCAAACTGTAAAACACACCTGTCTGTTGGAATATGGTGTTCTATTTCGGAAGAAAATAAAAAGAAATGAGATGAAAGCTTACTTCGTTCAAAAGTTTAATTAAAACTGACCCTGTTCTCGACCCCTGTTACGGTAACGCATCCTTATACGGTAATCCATATGTTGAAGGATAACTGAGGATTACCTAAATTTTTTGCACGATCACAGACAAGAAATTCAAACTGGGGACCTCTGCGGACTATTAAAACCCTAGCTAAAAGGACCTTGACCTTCAATCTTAAGTTGTCTATTTGTTTACGTAAGGTTTTGTCCCTTTTCCGCGATTCTAGTTTATTGAAGGAAGGATTTGCCAGAAGTGGGAAAACTTCTTTCCAGCACTCGACGAATTTCCGATTCTACTTATTTTCGGTCTAGACGGTCTGTTGGTTTAGTTTTATCTGAATAACAATACAACAGTCTCTTCTGAGTCTGTACATTTTGACTGCCGAAGATCAGAACTTCATCGCTTACTATTAATAGAAGTTTCCTTAAGTTATATTTGGCAGGCCAGTCATCAGATTAGTAAGGTAACCAATCACGTGGTATCATGAGCGCATTTGATTTGTTTGAATGATCCTTGAATGCAAGACGACAGACGAAATTAACTTTTCTTTAGCTGGTTAGCCTGTTTACGCTTGTATTGAAATTATATTTGATTAAAAAAAAAATACGTACTCGATAGAGATAAAAATTCAATATTTCTTCCCATTTTTAACATAGTTTTGTTTCTACCGTTTAAGCAAATATACTTTTGAAATTTTAATTCGAAAATGAAATGAGGAGCTATTCTTGTGACAGATAAACAATATTGTCAACTTATATAGATGTCACGCGATAAACAAGTAGTTTAATATAAACACCAAGCAGTTAACAGGTCTCTGCCAGGCATTTCCAGACCAAACTGTTCATTGAAGAGACTAGAGTACATGTAGTACCAGGCTGATGCATTACAATACGCTAATATAATCTCGGGATTGTTCCAAAACCGTGAAGGGTAATTTGACACTAATCCGGAAGTCCTTTATTGAATTGGCCTGCATTCAATACGATCCGCACAGGAAGTTGAAACAATGTCACCGCTTTCCAAGATTTCGTTGTTTGAAAATACTTTGAACGAGACAATCGACCGCTTTGGTCATTACACCTGTGTAACCCTCTCCTTCTCTTGAAATGAGCTGAAACCAGCCAGCGAATCCATTTCGAGCGCAGAACTCGTCCAACAACACCTTGCTTTCGATCAATTTCCCGGGGCCGATCCAGTCAACAGGCTTACCTCGTTTAGATGTAGGAATGTTCTCTATGACAAGGACCATAGGTATATTGGCGTCTTTTGGGTTTGCTTCTTTGATTTTCTCGCTCCACTTTAATATACTACCAAGTGGAGAAGGACTTTTTGGTCCCCAAAACACTAAAGCGCCGACACAATTCCGACAAAAAACGCTGGTCATCTTGAGAAATCGTTCGTGCTCGGCAACGTCCCAAAACTGAAGTTTGACACTGTATTCTTCCTTCGTTGATTTATCATTCCATTTGATAAAATTCAAGTAAAAGTCGACTCCGATCGTTGGCTTGTGGTAAAAGCTAAGCGGCCGATGTTGTATATAATCGGACACGAAGCCCCCCTTTTTGCCAAAGCCTGTATAATCGCCAACACACATTATCTTGAAAGTGAAGTCCGTCTCTTTGGATTTGACTTCTTGGAAGATTTCTTCGTCCCTTCTTACAAACGCCGCATCGCTTGCCATTTCCGATTCCATTTCGCGGCTCGTAAAGCTTTCGCTTCGCTGTACCTCTGCATCTGACATTCTGATCTGTATCAAGCAACGATGTCGTAGATATTTACTTGTATCTCTGAAACCTCCTGCTTCAGGAAGGAAATCTGATCGCACAAGAGTGCGTCATGTTTCAACTCATGTCTTTCATCAAGACCTTTCGAAATCCTTCAAGTCAATCAAATGCCGACTTACGTAAGATATTTGGTTACAGTCAAAACATTTTGGCGTGCGCTAGTAAGAAATCCACCAAATGATGAAGAACCCAGTTCAATGCAGCCAAACACGTAATATTGCACTGGAAATGTTATGAAACAAATGCGACAGAAACCCTTCAAACGTAAATACTAAATATTTAATTTACACTGCCGGTGTATATGGAACACGTCCAAGAGCGAATATTTTCGTACACGTAGAGCTTTCCAAGAAACAACGCCCTTCCTCTTTCCTTTTATTCGGTTTAAATTTTTATAAAACTCTACACAGATAAAAATATAATTTAATCGGAAAAAAATCCCTGGGTATCTTCCCCTTTACAAATTAATTATACTTAAATGTCATATTTTTCTTTCGGCTCTTTTAATAATTAGTTTGTCGGCTGAGTTTGCTTAATGATATTTTTCAAGTCTCCCGTAGAAAATATTTACACAAATGTAACAGGTACAATGAAAACAAGAAAATGTTCATATTAAAACATAAATTTTGAAAAAGATACCGAACGGTTATCAAATAAGTCAGGGATGCGTCAGTTTCGAAACTGATAACAGAACATTGTCGATATTTAGCCCAGATGGATTTTTAAATAGAACTTCAAATAAAAATTCCCAAGACTCAATGCATATGTGGGTGTGACTGTCGAATTGACGTATCTTTGTCCGAAAGTCTAAATATTTTTACCGGCCATTTGCTAAATTAGCATATAGCCTTGATGGCAGTGTTTAACAAGAACATAGTATCAAAGAAAAATCACTGCAGTTATTTACTTATTCATGTCAAGCAAGCATTTGTTAGAAGCCAATACACTTTTCTTTCAAATGGCAAAATAGTTAAAACAGGATTTCATTTTTATTTTGTATCACGTACGACTGTCTGCCTATAAATGGGTTTCATATTTTCAAATACTGTATCTTGGCGACTAAAACTACACGACCTCTTTCTCTTATACATGATTCATTATTTCAATATGGCTTTTTATCTCTCCCACAATCTTAAAAGCAGGAGCGCCACCAACTACACTTGAATTGAATAACACTCACCGTGAAAATTACCGCTTCCACTTTAATTTTCTTTTACTTTTCAAACTTTTTCAGCCCAACGTAATCCTAACCCAAACTAAAATTTCAACCTTAATAGTGATCAGATCTTTTTTCTAACAAAAAGTACCAATGAAAAATATCTAGGCGACATATCTTACCGGAGCTCAATGACGGCATTTTAAGTTATCTGGGGCGCGTACGAAATTACTTTTAAATTGAAGGAAGCCTGAAAATAGTGCTTTAGTAATATGGAAAAAAATCAAAGAGATAATAACAAGCCATAAAGGTACCAGAATGGAGAAGATTATCATAGAATGAAAACGACGAACTTGAAAAATTTAGGCTAAACTTTTCAAGATGGGCGCGCGCAAACCGTGATGTAACTCTTTTAATGGTCTTTGGAAGATTGCACTAATTAAAATTTCTCAACTATGTATAACCATTACACGTGTCCATGACGTATAAAATTTGATACCCTTTAGGTTAAGAAGTTATCTACTGTTATTTAAGATTTTTCCCAAACTGATATGTATAGACATAGTAAAATTGATGAGGTACGTGAACTAATTTCATAAATCTTAACAGTAATTGCCTTCTAATGCATTTTCCACCCTTTCCACCCTTTCCATCTTCGATCCTTAATTCAGGGCAGCTTTGAGCTTCACATCTCCGCTACATAAACAGAGACTTTTTATGAGCCTAACAGACCGCGTTTTTTAACCATATAACTTGATTTCAAAAAAAGAAAAAAACATTACCTAACTGAAATCTTTCTCAATCTTTTCTAGTTTTGACGTTCCTTGGTCTGTTTTACCTAAATAGAGTACTAATAAGTCTACCAAGTTATAGTTTACACTTCAGATATAGTAACCAACCAAATAAGAAAAGACTGGGAAAGATTGGGAAGAATTACGAACGACTAACGTTTAGAAAAACTGTCTGGCTAAATCTTTCAGGACACGCTATCTATCTCATAACATTAACGACAGGGCCGGGTTGTTCAAAGCCCGATTAACCCAGGATTAGCGAGAACTTTGATTTTTATACATTTTCGGTGAGGTTTTCTTTTTCTTTTCTTTTTTTTTTTTGTTTGTTTTTGTTTTTCCTTTAGTCTTGAGTTTGAGCAATCTGAAACTACACAAAACATATGCAGCGAAAAATATTTTTACACAAGAAAAATTAATACTTCGGTTAACTTTTAATCCTGGGTTAGCGTTAACCGGCTTTCGAACAACCCGGCCCAGTAAAACAGAGAACACAATTCTCTAAAGCTATTTAGACAATTTGAACTTGATTCTGCAGGACTGACCAATAAATTACTGGTAATTTTATATTCTCACTACCATAATATTGTTATAATTTGCTAATTTTTATCTTTATCTATCTGTTGTGTGGCTGCTGTTGTCGTCTGTTTGATTATCAGCTGAAGACTCGGTTGATTGTTTTGTTGCTTCTTGAGTGTTCTCTTCTGCTGACTGTTTCTCTGTAGCTTGTAATGTTGAACTAAAGAAATCGCTGGTCTTGAATACAGCTGGGGCTTGCCAGCCAGACAAATTTTTATCTTTCTTTGGGGGATTCTGAGTCATCTGTGACAAGGAGAATTAATCAGAGATGTTTTTGCATTCACTACAAAATATTATTGTAGGACACAGTATAATTTACTGAATACCAACAGATTCCTGCATTACAGGGAGCGGGGAAGTCAATCCCTACTCATACCCCATACCCTAAATGGTTTTCCACATCATATTTGAGACCTGCCCATCAACATCTGTATGTTATTTTTAACCCCACTAATATTAAAATCTGTTCTCTTCTTTAGACCAAATTCAGCCTTTTAATGGGCTATTTTAGGTTCGACCAATGTCCACAAAATCAAAAGATGAGCTAGCACTAGTTACTGCAGTTCCTTGCTCTACACATGGTTACAAACCATTACCTAATTTCAACACATATGCTCAATCAAACCAGAACCAGAGTTTCCTGGTTACGGTTTTTGGTTATTCAATTTACCAAGAGACTTAGTGGAAGCTGATAGCTTCCAGCTATTCTGATCCAAGCTCAAATTGTATCTGAATGTTTAATTAAGGATCCTTGTTTTTATATAATTTCTGTATTTCTCATATTATTTTAGGGAGTTTTTACATAGGGTTTACCTCATAACTTCCTTTTTGAGACGCCTTTTCTTTTTTATCTTTTGTTTTTATATGTATACTTTTGTAACTTTGCATCTTGAATAAAGAATGTATGTATGAATTGGTTTCCTAAATGGCACTGGCAATTTGGCTACTACTGACCAAGAATATGTGGGCTCGGTGGACAAGAGTGATGACTTGATCTTTTCCATGGCAACAAATACTTATTTTTGAAGTACCAGTAAGTGAGTAGTATGAAAAATAATAGACACCAGAGAATTACTGGGCTGATTTGAACCCAGTCAGAACACAACAGCTTTCTATTTTAGAACTTTTCAGTCATTATTGAGGGAAATGGACTAATTTTCTTACTATAAGTAACTTTTGTTTGTGACGCTCTTCAAAGCTACCTGTCTAAGTCCTGGTATAGAGCTCAGAACTTTATGAATGGTATGACTCCCAAGCTCTCTCTCTGCGGTTGCCACACTTTCTTCCACCTCATCAACATTCTTCTTAACAGCACTCATAAAAGCCTTTATAAAACAAGATAGCCTGTTAGCACAAAAAAATAAAATAAAATACAGTATCACCAGCGCTTACTAATAGAGGGATAATGACCTTGTCTCCGGTATAATTTTATGAAGATCTATCTAACAATTCAACTGCAAGCCCAAGTTTTCTATGAGTAAATGGTCAATGCAGCATCACCAAGTTGACTATTGTTCATGAAACATGAAGGCTAGGAGTCTCTGTCCAATAAATTATTGTTTCAGTAGAGACTCTGAGGGATTCCTGCCCAAAACCTACAAGTTTGTGTATATTTAAACCTTCATTCAAGGACAGTGCATGCAATCATCGTTTGTCAATGAAGAGAAAATGATGAGAGAGCCAATCAAATTTGTGGATTTCCGATAGAAGACAGCTGAGTGACTTCTAACTGACAATTAGATTATAAGCTCGAGATTTCTATGAGCTGATAGTTGATTCGGCCTTTGGCCTCATCAACGATCACCTCATAGAAATTGAGAGCAAATAATCTAATTGTTTTAGTAGAATTCTTACTAAAATTTACTTCAAATAATGGTTTCCAATTATTTCTTGACGTACTATTAAACTTTGCGCCTGAAAAAGATCGCTCGGATTGAATTGTCATTTAAAATTGAAGTTGTGTGTGCATGTGCATCAGTTTTTTCACTAATTTCAACTTTTTTAAAAGTCAAGAAAGCGTTAATGTCCTTCGTTTAGACTTCTCAGGAATTTAATTATCCATTTGCATCAATATTTTCCTCCAAAACTTTGGAAAAACGAAAAAAATGTCACCATTTCCTAGATGACCTCCAGCCACTGCACACTAATGGCTGATAGTGTTCAATGGCTCAGCCAATCAGATTACAGCATTTGCATTAGTATACTAGTAGAATTCTACTAATATCAGTTGAGTTTAGTTTTGAGCAAGCTTTACTGACTACAAATGTTTAAGCTTCCTGGGCATGCAGGTCAAATCTTGTGCCTTTTTTTGTCTGGCATAAATAACTTGATAACTTCAAGACTATACCAAATGTATTTAGCATTCTAATTCCTCCATTTCCATTCTGCAAATGGATTACAGAACTAATGAATGAGATGGGTATGTCAAAAACAAAAGAATGTTTGTACTGGGATACTGGGATACTGGGATACTGAGATGCAAAATTAAAACCGATGTTACAAATACCTCTAGTTGGTCAATCTTCCTGAATAATGTTGGCAATTCTTGAGATCTTGCATGTAGCTGGGGTATAATTTCCATAAGGGATTGTGAAGAGTCATTGCGAATCTGTGTACAAAGAAAAACTGTTGTAAATCAAGTTTTGTTACCGTGCAACTCACAAATTTAAAGGCATAACCAGTGGAATAATTGTACTGGAATTCTATTGTGACAAATGAAAAAATTACAAGATGTGAGATGAATAAACTGCAAACTGTACACCTCTATGTGATCTACAATCCAGGGTGCATCCTGAAGATCTTCAATGTGGCCTTTATAATTTTGCAGCATACCAGTGTGAGATTGGAGTTTTTGGCCTAAGGCAGCATGTACACTCAATGTTTTTTATTTTAATTTATGGAAATTTTTGCAGGAAAACGTGGGAAATGGCATTTTCTGAGCCCCTAAAAGTAAAAATTTCCTGGGGGAGTATACCCCCACCCCCCCCAGCAACTAGTGCCTTCACTGCTAGGTAATGTTTCTAGTCCATATTCTATGAAAATGCAAGCTTTGCCCCTGATTTGGGGTGGCGTTTATATAGAGCATTCTTCGGCGTGGGGCTTGCCAGGTGTATGGCATGGAATGTAAAAAGCCTTGTTGTATCTTCAGCATGGCAGTCCATCAGAACATGCACCCGGGTCTACAATCATAAAGCAAAAGCACAAGAAGAATGAAAAGTTTTGTTTTCTTGTGTTTATGCTTGCATTGCAATGATTTGTACGTAGTGCAGACAAAATGAGAAGACTGTGTGCAGGGTTTGAACTTGTGCATCAGCTGTCCCCACTAATCCTTCAGTTAAGTTGAGATTTTTCCGAAATGAGTAATTTCATATTGCACAAAGGTTAGCTCATATTAATCATCATAAGAAATTTGTGAATTTGATCTTGTAGGAAACCACTTTTATAAATTTTTTTCTTCAACCTTGATACATAATGTGTATATTATGTCTTTCCTCAGGTGGGAAAGAGTCCAAAAATTGCACGATCTTTTTCAAGCTCGTGCGTAAGTGTCGTAAGTTAGGGTGTCAGCAGGACAATTCTCACTCATTGATCACGGAAAAGTCACGCAGCCCCCGATAAGGACGTTACCAAACAATGGTAGCGTCTGGGTATATGTCTTGACTTGAGAATGTGAACCATGTGGGACGAAAATATATGTTGTCGTTTCAAAACGGAAATACGAACAAAGTTATGAACAGAAACAAATATTTCAAAAGTGATATGTAGTACCATAGAAATCATCTTTCGATGTAATGGTTTAGTAAGGAAAGAATAAACTCCCGAAAAACGAAATATCCTGTAATACGGTGAAGGGTCATGCGTCCTGCGAACTGAATAAATTACACAGGCAAAGTTACGTTCATAACACGTATTTTAACTTCTTATTGTTAATTTTTACCGTATCTGCAAGATGGGAAAATTCATCCAAACGAACAAGCATATCCTCAATGATATCCTCGATAGATTTGGACTGAAAAACACGCAAAAATAAATGAGCTTAGAACATAAATCTACCTCCTCACACAAGCAGACTGAAAGTATCAATTTTTCTGCCGAAATACTTCTCCAATCAAGTCGTCGATGGTTGTCATACCTCCTTCCTTACATCCACTTGACAATACTGAGCAAATTCCGCAGCGCACTTCGCCAAATCAAGCTCTTCTTCGTCCTCTGATTTACCGTTTTCCACAAGAGCTTGCTCTCCACCGTCCGCCATCTTGGATCGAAGGAGCAATTTTGAGCCGACTACACTTTGATCAGCGGTTAATCGCGTGGTAAAGAGAAACGTTTCGAAACGTTGACCGTGTTCCCTTCACTTTTAATTTTGCATCTGCTTGAATCTCGAACATCTATACCGCCAAAATGGTATGTACAGGTGCAAAGGTATCTCACATTATTCTACTTTTGCAGAGTTTCATTATTTGCTCGTTTACTTTTTCAGACGGTGGGAAAGAGTTCGAAGATGCTCCAGCACATCAACTACCGAATGCGGTGCACATTGCAAGATGGCCGCAGCTTCATAGGGACTTTTTTAGCTTTCGACAAGCACATGAACATCATTTTAGGAGACTGTGATGAATTTAGGAAAATCAAGCCAAAGAGCAGTAAAGCACCGGAGCGCGAGGAAAAGAGAGTGCTTGGTTTAGTTTTGTTGCGAGGGGAACATCTTGTGTCTCTGACAGTTGAAGGACCTCCATCTTCTGATGTAAGTTACGTATTATAATCACATGTTATTAATTTTAGATAAATAGTGTTTTTGCTGAGGACGAGATGGAAAGTCTTTGAAAGACTAAAGATCGTTCATCATGTCAAAAAGTGTATATTTTGGGGTTTTATTTTGTGATCAGAGATATACTGTTATGCTATGTTCGCTGGAACATCTGCATTGAATTGAAGATTTAAAACGTCTGTTATTAAGTCTTGTTTCTTGTAAACCCGTTTATTATATTTGAAGTCAGGAGCCCATCACCAGGAGCCTCCATCTCCCATATATCCTTGAGTCAACCTTTGCGCGTATCTTCTTATTTTTAGAAGAGTCTTCACCCCAGGCAAGCTCAAATTCCCGCAAAAGCATATTTTTTTCACTGACGTCCGTATATAACTTCGAAAAAAAACATGGTGGCCGAAGTGGCAAGTCTCATCTTGTTTCCTACTCCCATATTCCTGTTTAATTCAGTCCAGAAGCCTGTATTTACAGCCGAGAGACCCTGGTTCCTAACTTATTGCTTGGTAATAAATAACTTGATTGACCATGAACAGTTGAATCCAGAAGTATCCCTCGCAGTGAAGCTTCGTGGTGAAGCTGTTTTACCAGCTTTGTCGTTGTTTTTTGCTCCTTTCGCAGTGATTGTCCGTTTGTTTTCGAGGCGCTTTAGTCATGTAAGCTGTCCAAAAGAAATTACCGTATGGAGTTTTCTGCCAAACATTGCAAGAAGTCTTTAGATTTCGCTCTAGCAGATGAAAATGCAAGTTCGGGTGAAAGCGGTAACTAGGACCGTGGCAGTGCATCTAGCTCACATTTTAGTGAGAAACTCGGCGATGAAGATCATGCTGTGAGGTTCAACGTAAAGGAAATCTCTTAAGAAGAAAGCTTCAGGGGAAAACAAAGTCCATGTTAGCTGAGGTTGATTTACTGAAAAAGTGGCATTCTGAACTTTCTGTTACGGGTTTCAGCTGCGAAATATTAAATCTAACAACCAAACATTCACCACTTGCCAAGACCGAGCGTCCCGCTCATTTTCCTGAACATGTACTTGTTTTATATCCTTCAAAAGTGTATACATATGCTCCGCAAACAGGGCTATTTCAGCCTGTTCGTTTGATCGTTTATGTTGATGGAAAGTGGAATCTTCAATGTCCCATCAACGAGCACATGGTTGTGAAGTTGGGTACCCTTGAGAAGTTTGCGCCAAGCCGCAGAATGCCTTGCATTCTCACAGATGTACGCGTTGCGCTAGCAACCTCAGACATACAGAGTATTTTAGAAATACTGGTAACTGATGAGATCCACATGGAGGATCGAAACCATGATCTTGCCTGAACTAAGCCGAACAATGGCAAATAAAACATGCAAAGCAGTCAACAGACTTGCACGTAAACAAGCACATTTGAATCATGGTGCCAGAACCTATACATATAACCTATACATCGAGCTCAAGAAACATGAGCTCGATCAGATAGAAACATTAAAATGTTTCTAGACAAACTTATAGCTTTCTTGAAGTAAAGCTATGGCGTCTCTGAAGAAAAACCTACGAGGACAAATATGATGTCCATTATAAGAATCTACTACTGTACTTGCAAACAGTTCTAATCACAGCCGGGCCCGGCGTCACAATAGCGAATGCAAGTAAGCAACATGTTCACGGTAAATTTCGTATTTTGTTCTTTGAAAGTAAATACTTAGAGATTCACTGAAAAACATAGCTTGCAATAGAAATGAGCCAAAACAATGCATAAACTCATGGCAAATTACAGAGGTGTCAAACTCTATGAAGCGACATGCAGATAACAATGGAAATCACGCAGACCTATGACCTACAAAAATTTGCTATACCACAATCTAACGGCTCAATTCTACTTGAAATTCCTCCTTATAACACAACATGAAGTGCCCTTCATAAACAGGAGTGAAATGACAAAAAAAGTCGAGTGACTGAACAGAGAACGGCTAATGTACAAATGTCACGAGCCGTAGAAGTTGTGTAGGCTAGTCAACCCCACTTTTACGCTCATACTTTCACAAGATGTGCTTAATTCTGATGGAGAGATCTCATCATAATCTGAGCTTTCACAGCCTTCACTGGATGAATTATCCACACTTTCTGCCATTCCTGTGATAGTTTTTGTTGAAACTAATGCATGACGTAAGACAATAACTTTGTTCTGATTGGCTGTTCAAATAGTGCGCGCGAATCAAAAACCCCTGCAGGTTTCTAAAAATAAGAAGACACACGCAAAGGTTGTCTCATAGGGTTTGTATGGGCTCCTGTTGAAGTATAGCACACAAGACATAAGCAAGGTCTGTCGACTGTACTGTGATCTTTAAAAGAGTAAAATGGTTCAGAAATTGTTATTTAAGCCAAGCTGTACATAGCACAGGCATAGTTGGCTTTATCAACAAACAATTTAATAGTCTCATTGTGTTGTTCCAGATAATGTCCATAATACCCCCTTTTCCCAGCCCGTTCTTGCCAGAATTTTTCTAGGACTGAACTGGAAGCTCCCTTGTAGCTTACCCTGCAAAACCGCGATTCCCTCCTCTTTCTGCTTGTGGAGAGATGATTATGACAGCTTACTTTCCTTTAAACATTTTGGCATTTGAGGTCTTCAGTGATCTCTGCAATGGAACATTATCAACATAACATTACACCTCTCACATAGGATGAATTGAGTACTGACTTGATTAATTGGATTCTCATTTTTTTGACTGAGTTTTTGTGGAATTTCAAATACATCTGTGTTATCTTTGAGACTGTCATTCAGGGCTGTAACTGGTAACACCTGTTGCAGTTGTATGCTTGATAAGCCCATTACATTGCAGGTGAACTTGTCTGTTGTTAATACAATTCATCCACATAGTAATAAGTTTGTTTTGTGAAGAGCAAGGCGTCAGGTGACTCAAACCTTACTGACAGCCATGATCTGTATAATTAATACAGGGCACAAAAAAAGTGCCTTCCGGTCATCCGGGACAAGTAGATTCTCCTTATGGGAAAGTACCTTTTCATTTTCACTTCCCCGATGGGCAAGGGATGATGCAAGTCGTCTGCCAACTAAATCATTAAAAGACCAAACTAAGGCGTGCCCAGGGTGAGCAAACTTTGAGAGATACTTGTCTTAAGGGCAAGTTGTAATCTAGCTTTTGGCCAGATGGATGTTCAGGCATCCTGAGGATGGCCATTTTCTATAGAAAATTATTTTATTTTTCATATGTTGCCTTATAAATTGCTCATTTGAGCAGGCTCTGTAGCACATTTTGGACAGCCACTCTTCAAATTCTGGCTAAAAACCTAGCTTGAATTCAAGTTTTTTTTTTTTTTTCGTGCCCTGTAATACATCTGTAACAAAACATTGATATCTTGTTTTTGCTTTTAGTCAAAGTCCAAGTTGCTTGGAGCCAATGCTGCCCCTGGAGCAGGGATGGGCCGTGCTGCTGGACGGGGAGTGCCAGCTCCTATGGCTCCAACAATTGCCGCACCACCAGGTATGTACCTTAATACTAGTGCTGATTTGTTTGTTATTAAATAATCTATAGAAGCGAAGTTGTTTCACAATACTGCATTAGAGCAGGCTACCCTGGCTTTAGCAATAGTTAGTTGTTTATACTTCATGTGAGAGGTGAAGACATTCTGGAACTGCTCAAGGTGTTGCCTACTAAAAGTCATTCTCAATTTTTTGGGGAGAACCCTGAAAAGACTGGATATGGCAGTAGTGATCCAAGGCGGTTGCCATATAATTTCCAAATTTATTGACTAACTGAACTGTGGTGTTGCTACTGATTTAATTTAAAAGGTAATTTTGTGATTA